AGTCTTCATCAAGTAATGCCTCCAATTCAGCATCTTCAAAAATCTTTCCTCTTCCACCGCTATGCCGGTTTTCGACGTGAAAATCACCGTTCGTGAAGCGTTGAAACCACTCACGACACGTTCTTTCACTAATAGCGATCTCACCATAGGTATTTGAGAGCATTTGATAAGCCTCAGCCGCAGATTTCTTCATATTAAAGCGGAAAAGTAAAACCTCCGGCAAATGACGAGAATTCGGCTCGTAAACTGACATCTTCAATCGACGATAACTTTATGGTACAGATACAAATCGACTAATGTAACTATTAGGTTATGTTGACAGATGCTCAAGTTGATTGTATGACGTATATGATCTATTTACTTTGACCACTAAGTTCCACTAAAGCCATCTATAGGAAAACGGCGGGAGCAAAGTTGTTCACCTAATATTTTGTGCCATATGTATGTCATATTATACAGAATGGTGAAAATGTTTCAGTACAACGTAACCCTAAATAATGTTCATATTGGCGGTATCTGAAAATCATTAATCAATAATTCTAAAAGTACTTAATAAAATTGGTCTTTATCACATTATTTTAAAGGTGCTTCGACATTAACTGCAATAACATGCAATAAAAAATTTTAGTCCCCATTAAAATATTCAAGTTGAACTTGATCTTTGAAAACATTTTGATCTGTGAAAACACCATTTAATATTAGACATATACCGCTATTAAATGTATCTTTTTGAATCTTACAACTTTTATAAGAAATTTTTTTTAAATACATTATTTACATGAGAGATATTCTACCATCCCACTACATTTTCATTACCGTATATATATTTTTCTTTTAATTATAATAAGTTATAAATATTTCTGGGACCTTTTTAGATATACAGCCAAAGTAATTAACGTTGTACGACCTCTGCTTTTAACTACAATAACAACGACGGCTATAGGTGTTGTTTTTGGAAGTTTAAACATGGTTACTGTAAGCACATTTTACGTGAAATATTTTATTTTACATAAGAACTTTCTCTTAATCTTTTACATCAGTTTGAATCATGAATAACTTCCATATTTTTTTCATTTATATTTATTTTTACGCAAAATATTTCAAGTAAGACCTATTCCAATATTATGCACTTGTCATTTAATTAACTTGTTGCAACTATATGTTTACAATACAACTATATGTTCTCGATTCCAACAAGTGCTTCATAAAAACTAAACATTTGCCATTATTATCGAAAATTATGAAATTAAAATGAAATAAAAAAAGTGTCATATATGTTCGAATATTTTGAGAATGGAACGTAATAAAAATGTATGCACAATCCATTTAATAAATACATATTTGCCTTCTACGAATATGACAAGATTTCATCATATTTTGCTGCTAATATGTAAGAAGTAAATCATTTTTCTAAAATCTTTAGACGAGAGAAGAAAAAGTGAATAGAAACAATAAGGAATAAGAAGAGAATGAAAATGAGAGTCTATAAAAAAATTATTAAAATAGTTAGAATCGAGCAGAATATCAAGAATGTTAAAAAGGATGATATACAAAATAGTTAAGAAATAAATTAATATTTTAAGCTTGAATAAAGAATAGTGTCATATGTGTTCGAATATTTCAAAAATGAAACGTGATATGAATGTTAGAAAAGGATGATATACAGGATGTTTATGAAATAAGTTAATATTTTATGCTTGAATAAAAAAATAGTGTCATATGTGTTCGAAAGCAGAGTAACTTTTGAATGCGTGGAGGAATTTTTTTGAAGCATTGAGGTTACATTTATAGGTCTTTAGACTACTGTATGATATACTTAAAATTTTAATTTTAAATGATGGTTTCCAAGTAGCGGATTTAATATAGAGGTTTTTTCCAAGGCTTATTCAAAAAATTGCTAACTGAACATTCTTTTAAGTTTTATTCAGAGATTTTCTTCGGGGTTATTGATACCAAATATGATACTAAAAATCCAAAATGACGAATTTAGTATGTGGTTACTATCAAAGTTGCCAGAAATCGATTTTGAGACATGAGAAGGGATGACGCACACAAGCACGTGCCATGTGTGCTCCGAACTTTGGGCTGTTAGTTATTAGAAAAAGATAGACATACGACGTAACGACTGTCTCTCACTTTCTCTCTTGAGCAAGTTTGCCGCAATACGAAGTTTAATGTGACGAAGTTAAATTGGTCTCGTACGTTCTTGTGCTAAAACGTTTTATTCCTACATATTCTTTATTTCTCACAATATACTAAAGGGAGATAGAATAATGTACAGATGCGTATTAGATGAACCTAACCAAAGAGTTGATTAATGTGTGCAAGTAATACTTTAATATTTTAATTCTTACCACCTCCCATAAATATCTCCTATAATTAACAAATCATTAATTTATGCCATAGAGAGAGAGAGAGAGAGAGAGAGAGAGAGAGAGAGAAAGGCGTCAAAATATATCCTGTATGTAAAAATGTATTTTTTATATTCGCAGAATTATAAAAATAATGAAATCCCCGTTTCAAGAGGAAGGAAAGTTTACATTTGTTTTGATAGTAGAGCAGCAATTGCAGCGTTTACTAAAAGCTCAACAGAGTCATCTCTAGTTTGGGACTGCATATAAGCACTAGACGTACTAGGCCAATAGGATTACGCTAGCCTGGGTTCCTGGACATTAGGGTATACGAAGCAGTAATGTGGTGGACGAGCTGGCAAAAGAAACACAAAGAAGAACCCTGAAAGCCATCGGAAAGTAATCGGCGTTCCTTTGCCTTCTGCCATCTGCCAGGCAGATGAAGGATCATAGAAAGCATGACAAGGGAATTCCAGGACAAATGAAGAGCTTGTGAGAGCTGTCGGCAGGCCAAGCTGTTCCTAAGTCCTCTTGCGGAAAGCAAGAACTTCTAAGCATGGACAGGAAAAACCTCAGAGCCGCAATTGGGCTACTAAGGTCACGTGACTTTGATATCATATCTACACATCTACACACCATCACTGCAGCCGATTGTGCCGACTGTGTGGAGACAATGAGGACAATGTCCACATTTTGCGCCATTGTCCCTCCCTCATTTGCAGAATGTACAAGCTCTGGGGACAAATGTATTTGAAACCATAGAACCTTCATACAGTAAAGGTGAAAGCAAGGGTGAGCCTAGTGGCTAAGCTGAATAAACTCTTAAACAGCGGATTGTTGGAACGAATGACTAGGTGACTTTAAGAGTTGACAAGCTCCTTTCACTACTATTCTTCTTCTTGTTCGATACGCCCGAATCCGGGCATCGTGACAGCATCTATGATGGACAGTTATTTACTGTATGGAGACAATGAGGACAATGTCCACATTTTGCGCCATTGTCCCTCCCTCATTTGCAGAATGTACAAGCTCTGGGGACAAATGTATTTGAAACCATAGAACCTTCATACAGTAAAGGTGAAAGCAAGGGTGAGCCTAGTGGCTAAGCTGAATAAACTCTTAAACAGCGGATTGTTGGAACGAATGACTAGGTGACTTTAAGAGTTGACAAGCTCCTTTCACTACTATTCTTCTTCTTGTTCGATACGCCCGAATCCGGGCATCGTGACAGCATCTATGATGGACAGTTATTTACTGTATGGAGACAATGAGGACAATGTCCACATTTTGCGCCATTGTCCCTCCCTCATTTGCAGAATGTACAAGCTCTGGGGACAAATGTATTTGAAACCATAGAACCTTCATACAGTAAAGGTGAAAGCAAGGGTGAGCCTAGTGGCTAAGCTGAATAAACTCTTAATTTCCATAGATCTCTATCCATGGTGTTGTGCATGCACTCGCATATTGTGCATGCACACGCAAAACCTGTTAGCCTCCCTATCTGATCAATGTACCTAGAAAGGAACCGGCCCCTTGATCTCCTTTCCTCGATCTTACCCTAGACCACAAGCTTTTCAAGGACGTCGTTTCCTTTTCACATGATGTGTCCTAAGTATTTTAATATGGTTTTATTAATGGATGCGTTTAGCCTCTCCTTGATGTTAAGTTCTATTAGGATCGATGCGTTCTTCCGCCTTTCCATCAATGACACCCTCAGCGTCCTCCTCCAGCAGAACATCTCGAAAGAGTCGATGCGTCGCCCGTCTGTTGCTATCTTTATTGTCTAATTTTTTGAGGCGTAAGTCATTATGGGGAGAACCAAAAATCGAATAAGTCGCGTTAATATATTTCGATATCCCTCTATCCTTTCTTCTGTCTTATGCGCGTTAATTTGTCTAATGTAGTTTTGGCAAGTGTAATTCTGCGTCGAATTTCGCCATCGCATCCCCCATTGTTAGTTATTCGGACCCCAAAGTATATTAGGCTCTCAACAGCCTCAATCCCATTAATCTTCTTGTCGTGTTGATTTCCTTTCTCATTTGCTCTATCGACAATCTGTATTTTACTTCTTATTTTCAGTCCGTATTTTTCACTGCCCTCTCCACTCTTTTGTTTATATTTTCTAACACTATTTATAAAGAAACAATTTATTTTGTACGGATTACTATACGTAAAAAAATAAATATATACCAATTTCCTAACACTAATTGTTTATATTTTAGCAGATAGGAAAAGGAACATTATGCAGCGACAGTGTTGCAATTATTTATATTCAATTAAGCATTCACATCTCAAGTAGTACAATATTTAAGATAATACAATATAAATAAAAAATTATGTAGCACATTAGCAAAACACAAGTTATATAAATAATTTACAGAAAACAACACAACAAGAGTGCAATTCATTTAGCACGGATTGGTACATATTTATTTTTTTACGTATAGTAATCCGTACAAAATAAATTGTTTCTTTATATTACAAGCAGCGCCCGGAAAATAAGTTTACAAAGTTGGTAATAATATGAAGAGAATTTTGTTTGTGACAAATGGCAACATTGCTATATCCGTTAGGGTTCGTAGAAGTTCGTCAGAGTGCACTGGACCTCAGTCGCAACAACAGTGTGTCATAGTGTGAGCCGACAATAACCGCGACGATTCCAGATCTCGCCAAATACGAGGTTCGTGCTGATTCGGTTTCTGCATGCGAAAGGTAAAAGTGCTTCTGAAATTTATCGCCAACTTATCAGTTTACGAAGAAGGAGCTATGAGCAGGCAAAGCGTACTAAAATGGTGTCGTGAATTTGCAGCAAGACGGAGTGACATTCATGATGAAAGCAGGAGTGGGAGGCTATCCATTGTCACTGACGCACTCGTTCAAAAAATCGACAAACTCATTTGTGCTGACGGGGCGTGTAATCCTTGATGACCTGCATAAAAAATTACCAGAAGTGTTAAGGATAGTTCTTCACGAAACGGTGTCTGAAAGATTAGATTATCGAAGACTACCAGGTGTATGCATAAGTTTTTTCCAATTTAACTAAGAGATGGCGCCAGCGAAAAGTACGCAGCGTATTAATTTGACACATACGTCATTTTGTTCGTCTGACATTTAAAACTACAAACACACACAAGTTGAGTCCGCCAAAAACTAGCGTCTTGGTTTTATCGTTCAGTGATTATGTCGAGTTTTTTGCCTGAAAAAGAACATTTGCGGCACGCATTGCTTTTCTTATTTAATCAAAAGAAAAAGGCTGTTGAAAGTCATCGTTTGCTGGTAGAAACATATGGTGAACACGCTCCATCGATTAGAACATGTGAGACATGGTTTCGACAATTNAGATGGCGCCAGCGAAAAGTACGCAGCGTATTAATTTGACACATACGTCATTTTGTTCGTCTGACATTTAAACTACAAACTACAAACTACAAACACACACAAGTTTAAACTACAAACACACACAAGTTGAGTCCGCCAAAAACTAGCGTCTTGGTTTTATCGTTCAGTGATTATGTCGAGTTTTTTGCCTGAAAAAGAACATTT